TTGAAAATCTCGAGTGTGAAATTTGTGGCTCCAAATATGCAACCAAAAGCTAAAGGACAAGCACAATTTTCCTTATCAGCTAAAAAGTGACAGGTTTTTAATAAAATTGAATGTTTTCAAACTCATTCCAAGGTGTTAAAGAGTGAAATTCCAAGTCGATTAAATCTAAAAAACATAAACAACGTATAAGAACTTGGGCTTATCCTCTTAAAAAGTTGATTAAAAACAGAATAGAAAACACCATGGAAGAGTAAAAATGTAACTAATCCATGAATGATTGGGGTTCCTGGGCACAGAATCAAGATTAATAAAAAAGCAATGAGAGTATAGATCTAAGCTCTTTATTACAGCCATTAAAGAAACATATATATATGGAAATAGAAAATAATATTAATAAAGAATGCAAATTGATCTTACAAGAGGACTATAAATCCCCATCACTATGTATTGAAACAATTGCTTTCCCACAAAAGGCGCAAAGAAAACATAGAAAGCAAATCCCAATGCTAGAAATACAGCAACAGCAACCACCTGCACACATACATGATACACCAGAATTCAAAACACTTGGATTATGTACAAAAGGGAAAAAAGATCAGCACATACACATACTAAGAGAGAAAAAAGATACCTGGAGTGGATGGTAGGGAAGCTGCCATCCATGTTTCCTCATTGTGATGATTGAAGAAAAAATAGTTTTCAAGAAACTAAGGCAAGTTAGGGAAAAATGAACTTAGATTTACTCCATTTCTCCACTCTTTAATCTGCTTAACATTTTTGGGAAAAAGATTCCTCAAATGGGAATTTTAGATCACTGCTTTGCTGTACAAACTATNCATCAGTCTTATTCATAAGAACAAAAAAGGAAGATTAAAAAACAAAAACTTTGCATCTTTAAAGGGGAAGAAATGGAGGGATGGACAATGGGGACCTTTGTCTAGTTCGCTTAATCATAGCCCACCACCCCTAAAATCCACAATTTGAAATGGGCATTTGAGCGAAATGCAAATACCCTTTTCTTTTCTTGTTAATTTCTTGGAAACCCTTTTGCTCGAGACAAGCAAAGTAAAAGCAAAAAAAAGTGTAGCTGAGGAGAGAGAAAGGGCCAGTGCTGGATTAGGATTTTGCTTTCCAAGCCTATAATGACTACTTCGGCAATCTTAGATTACACTTTTCCCTCGTTTCTAGCAATGCCTTTTTCAATAGGCAAAATCAAAATTCAATGTGTCACGGGTCCATTTTATTTCTTCTGTGGTGTGCAGTAGTTTCTGTTTCTAACAGTACAGCCCAATTTAAGGCTTCTTTGTCCATCTCTCTCTGGTTCTTCTGCCCTCTTCTTAAATGCATGCAGTGGTAGATAAAAATTGTTTATTTCACTTTATTGCAGATAGCGATTTAAGCCTGTAGCAATTTTTTTGTTGAAAAGGAACAATACAGTGAGCTATAGAGACAATTTGAGGGAAACGATCCATTTCCATCGTCTACAATTCTGTTTAATCTAGTGTGTGTTTGGTAGTGCTTATTACTTATAAGCTATGAGTTTTATAGAATGTGTGAATATCGAGTGTGTAATATTTGCGGATTATATACATATATAGTTAAAAAGTATATTTAATCAACTTAAATTATAATTTAAAAGCTGTCAAACATGCTCCTTGTTTTGTCACAATTGCATATGTGATACATAATATTCGACCTTACTAAATAATAACATTTAACGTACCTTACTAGACATGACATGTCTAGTGTCCACTGGCATGTTGAGTGGAGGCTGGTGAACCGAGGGTGCACTCCAAGGTAACGTGTACACGGTCGGATACATTAAGTGCATATTTGGGAAGAATTACAATTACTTTTAAACGTAGCAAAATATGTTTTTAACACATTTTACACATGAACAAGGACATTTGATGTTTTAAGGTTTTAATTACCTTAGAAAGTGCTAAAAATACAAAACTTCTTTTTTTTTTTCTTTTCATTTTCTTCCTCTAGTTATCTCTTAAAATGGTCCTTAACCTTCCATTATTTCAATAACCACCCCTATAAATGAGTATTATAAATAGGGAATCCCACAACATAGAAAAAGAAAAAAAATAATAAAAAGGGATGTTTTGTAGTGTGTAGATTTAGAGGACTCATGTGGATTTTCTTGAGAGGTGCATAATTTTGGCATCTTCTTGTTAATACATTGTGCTTGATGACTTGGGGAAATTCAATAATCACAAAAAGTCAAACACAGTTTTAGGATAATCAATTTTTTTCTTTTTTGCTTTTTAATATTGTTTTACTTGTACAAATGGGTAGGAGAAAGTTATGATTAGTTTGGAAATTAAGTCCATGTTTGCTAAAAATTAAAATTTTAAAAATTTTAATTTAAGTTAAAGTTAACAATTAATTTTAATCACATATTTCATGTGATAAACAATTTTACAACCACACATTTCATCAACTTTTATTAAAATCTACTAAAAATCTGATTTTAATCCCTACCAGATAGAGGCTTATTTTTGTCGTTGAGTGTGAAACCTAAGATCGAATTTTCAAATTAATTAGATAATATCAAATAATAATTACGTTTGAGTATTAAACCCCTGTTTGGTACAAATTAAAATTTTCATTTTCATTATTCTACTCATTTTCAACCACACATTCTTCAATAAAATAATATTTTACATCACATCAATAACTTGTCCTTATTTTTCAACCACACATTCTCCATCAATCTACTATTCCAAAATACATTCTTCCAAAATAATGTGGCTCAAACACACCATAAATCTAGCTCTTATATACCTTAAAAGAAGGCACGGACTGTAAAATATTCATAATTTTAGTACGTATAAAGATTGTGTGGGCTTCGTATTTTGGTCAAGCTCGACTGGATACATGATCGGTATTAACCTTTTAAAAATATACGTTAATTCCTACGGCAATGTAATTTTATTAGCATTGCAAAATTAAAATATTTAAAGCCAATTATGCAATTTTTTATTTAGTTTACATTTATGTTAATTTTATCACTAGAACTACTTATCATCAACGGTTTTTATTTCCAATTATATATGGAGAAATGAAGCACCTTCGAAGTATTTTTTTTTTCATGTACATTAATCATTTATTATGTATGATTTTAGAGGTTCAATTATAGAAAAATATAACTTTAGAAATTATAAACTATATAAACAAAATAGAAATATAAAATTTGTTGGGAAATTTTTATTATTTTTTATGACCATAATTTATAAAGAGAATGATCGTGTTTATAGATTTATAAATTGTTACAAAAAAAAAAAAAAATACCAATAACGATATTATGAAACTATGCACGGAAAATAGGAAAAATAACCCATAAATAAAAAAAGATAGATTTTTTATTTTTTTTTTTGAATAATTTTGAAATCGCCTACTAGAGGGATAACAAATATTCTTAAAAAGACGACGAGAAGTATTTTTTATATAATTTTTATTCATTTATCATTTGGCCAATGGATAAATTGTAGATGAGAATCCAAAAGAAAAGACAGAGGCTCAAAGAGAAGTATAAATTTTAGGACATTTGAGTTGACAGAGGCACTGATTGTATTTTACTAAGCATTTTTGTCAGATTTTTATCTTTTAGTATTTGTTTTTCAAACCAATGCAAGAATATTACTATCGGGACATTGGACAACGTAGTGTGTGTATATATATATATATATATATATATATATTCAAATGTATATTTGGATTTTGAATTGATTTTAAACCATGCCATTTGAATTGATTTTGAATATGGCTAGCACATGATTTGGATCAAATTTGACAAATCATATTAGAGTACAATTCGTAGAATTAAAGGTTCGTTTGGCAAAATGTATGAATCATTTAGAAATAATCAAATTTCATTTTAAACTGCACATCCTAATGGATTCACAAATACTATTCATCGTCATCTTTTTTATTTATTTATAAATTAAACCGTTCATAAATTATTTCCGAGTGAAGGCTAAAACTTATTCAGGAGAATACTTGAATGCAAACTCTTTCAATGAAGCGGATGATTAAGCCACTATTTGACAATCATTATTTGAGAAAAATGGAGTTTTGAATGGTGATTGTTAGAGAATATGTGGTTAAAAAGTGAGAAAAGTTTTGAATTTATGTACATATATTTTATTATGCAAATGTGTGATTGAAAGTAAACACATAGGTAAAGAATTTAAAAATAATAGTTGTTGGGATTAAATTGGAGGAAGTGAATGTCTTCCTTTTTATAATCTTAAACAGACATGAGAAGACTGATTATTCCAAAGCCTTAATGGTCCGTTTGATTGCAATGATGAAAAATGGGTGTAAAGAAAATGAATTTCAGGGAAAATAATTGCCTAGAAAATGTTTTGTAGGGAATTGTTAATTAAATGTGTTTGATTGGAAAGATTTTCCAACCGAAAAATTTTTAAATTTTCTATTCGTTTGACTTTGTTTTACATGAAAATTGTCCATTAAAGTGATATTTTTTTTCCACAATTGGTTATAGGATTTGTTTCCATTGCCAAAAAGTGT